TGTTTATATTTATATTTATATTTATATTTATGTTTATATACCAGACCACAAAGGGGCACAAGAGACCGGATAATCCGACCCCTACAACAAACCGAAGCCCTCTGAGCCCCGAAGCCCAGATCTTTGGAGGATCTCGGGCTGTCGTGGTTGACACGTGCGTCGCACGGCATCTCTGCCCTAAGACCCTAAACCCTAAACCCTAAACCCTAAACCCTAAACCCTAAACCCTAAGACCCTAAGACCCTAAGACCCTAAACCCCAAGAATCCTTAACCCTCAAGGCTTAAACCCTAAAGTACCCTAAGGCTCTAAGCTCATCTAAAGCAAAAAGCCTGAACCCCGAAAAGCCTAAACCCCAAAAACCCTCGCCCTAGAGCCCTCTGAATGCGGAGGCAGCAACTCGGCACAAGCAAACCGAAGACCACATGGGTAGTTCTCTAAATTAGGGTCCCGTTTTACGTCGCCCAATATAGTACGGCACCCTTATAAAAAGGACCCCCAAAAGGGACCCTAATTTAGAAAACTACCCACATACCCCACAAAATCCCCAAAACCTCTTCGGTAAGGATTGGGGTCAAGAGCCTCGGGTTTGAAGTCTAGGGTTGCGGGCACCGTAAATCCGATCAGGGTAAGACTAAAATTAAGCCTAAACCCTGAACCCCAAATCCTAAACCCTAAACCCTAAACCCCTAAACCCTAAACTCTAAAATTAGCCTTAAACCCTAAACCCCAAATCCTAAACCCTAGACCCTAAACCCCTAAACCCTAAACCCTAAACTCTAAATTTAACCCTAAACCCTAAACCCCAAATCCTAAACCCTAGACCCTAAACCCCTAAACCTTAAACCCTAAACCCTAAAACTAACCCAAAACCCTAAACCCCAAATCAAGCCCGTCGGCCTCGGCCTGGGCTATGGTTTTGGGGCCAGCCCCCACCCATCACCCGCAGTGGCTTCCGCCCCAGTCCAGGGCTTGTGGCTTCTTGAGAACTGATGGTTAGGGTTTAGGGTTTAGGGTTTAGGGTTTGGGGTTTAGGGTTTAGGGTTTAGGGTTTAGGGTTTAGGGTTTAGGGCTTAGGTGGGCGCAAGACACTCAAATTCTAGTACAAGCCTTCGATCACGTTCAGGATCCGCTTCATGTCGACATACGGCTTAACTTAGGAGCCTATGAAGACCCGATAGAACCCCCACAAACCCGAAGCCGTACATCCTGAACCCTGAACCCCAAACCCTGTACCCTTTAGGGTTTAGGGTTTAGGGTGTAGGGTTTAGGGTTACCGTTCTGGAGACTCTGGGCAGCTACACAAGCCGCCGAGCAGCAAAGACGGGCTGAAGCGATGCCGGAAGCCATAGGCCAGGAACATCGCCCGCCAAATCTGGGCTGGGTGCTTTTTCGGTTACGGTTTAGGGTTTAGGGTTTAGGGCTTAGGGTCTTAGGGTATCAGGGTTTGGGGTTGTGGGGGTTCAAGGTTGAGGCCCCCGCGCCCTGAGGTTTTAGGGTTTAGGGTTTTCTGGCTGGGACATGTTGGACCGACATGCGCTTCACAGTGTGAGCGACATGCACAAGGTGCGTTTCGAAGGTTTTGTCAGGTCCTGTGAGCAACGGCGACAGAAACCTTCCCAGACACCTCCAAGGGCGTCAACAGCAAGGGCCTGTGAATGGCTTTACAAGGTTTGCACAGGGACTCGATGAAAGGCTACAGGGCTTTAGTTTTGGAGTGGTTACTGTGCTGGGTTTTTGAGGGATTTAGGTTTTACTTTAAGGTACAGAACACAAAGCCCTATAACATCCTGAACCCTACATCCCCAAGCCTGAAATTCATGTTAAGAAGCATCAAGCTTCTATCTCCTATACCCCAGTGTCTCTATCGAGTAACTCTCGCAAGTTAGCCCCACCGATCTGTATGGTCTGTGTTAGGGAGACCCACCCCTGTAGTAGAACCCTTGCAGAATCCTTATGGACCCTTATAGAGCGCCAATGGAGCCTTGCACAGCCCTTATGAAACCTTCTAGAAGCCTTCTAGAACCTTCATACAGAACGTGCCCGATTTTTATCATCAAGCGCATTACTTACTGGCTACTATTATTACTTGGAGGTTCATGGGTAGTTATAAGTGGAGTTATAAGTCCCCTAATATAGGTTATAAGTATAGTTACCCTACTTATAACCCTACTTCTAACGACCCATGAACCTCCAAGTAAGGTCTGAAAACTGCCCAAGGGGCCGGATTTGCAATGCGGAGCTGCTCGTTCACGTCGGCCCGGGCCTAGTGAGCTCAACGAATTATCGAGCCTCATGGCTTAAAGGGCTTAGAGCTTGGGGCTTAAGGCTTCGGGCTTAGGGTCTAGAGTTCCACAACTGAGTGGCTCAGTTAAGCAATAACGGCGAACTACATAGGCCTTAGGGTCTGGGGCTTCTTGCTATGGTTTAAGTTTAAGGTCTATTTCTAAATCGAGGGCGTTGAGTTCGGTAGGAAGCCGGCATTACATTCTCGGTTTCCGGCTGCATGTAAACCCTTACAGACCCCATGAGCGTGGATATTAAGAACTACTTACGAACCTTTCCAGACAACACCCTCTAGAACACCTGTAAACCCTTTCAGAATCCCTAGGTCGTTGTAGAATCCCAAGAGGCCCTGGTACTGCAAAACGTATCAAGCCCGAAATCGCCTCAAGGAGGGTCTCGACGATGTCATTGGAGCTGTTGTAGAAGATGAATGCTTGGTGAAGGCGAAACTGAAGACTCACCTGGTTTAGGGTTTAGGGTTGGCTTACCACGGATTTCCCAAGGCTTTGCACGTCTTGATCAGGCTTTATAGCGGCTCGTAGCTGCAGGGTTGTATCAAGGGCTTTGTGGCTTTAAGATTTGCGGAGTGTTTTGGGCGAGGTATGTTCATTGGGTGAGGAGAGGACTTGTGACGTGTAAAAAAGTGTTTATGCCGTTTGGTGTGGCTGCACGGTGTCCTTGTAAGGCGTTTGGGTGGGTTTGTAATGGTGCGTAACGTCTCTACAGCAGATGTACCTTACTCGCCAACTTAATATTACAGATGAGAGCTTCCCTGTACCGGATACTTCCTTCAACTGCAACCCAAATAACGGCCTTAGGAGAAACCCCGACCATTGGCCTCATCAACAGGTCAGTTCATCCAGATGTAGCTGTGGGATCCCATTCAAGTCCCCAAAGCTATGGCATCCCCAATACTAGTTCCTGCTAATATCAATGCATGTAAACTTAAATACTGCCCAAGCAGTTGCTTCAATGCTTGCCGTCATAGCCATGCTAATATTAAACTACGCAAAACGGATTCCGCTAAGAACCACGATCCTTGCTGTCCTCGCTCTGGCGTTCCCCTAATGATAGCCCTCCGATTTTTAGGGATAATACCAGCATTTGTTTGTTTACTTCAACATGTTGTACATGGCACCCACTTTCTCACTATAGTATACGATCATGCTAGACTTGCTGACGAACTTGCCCAAAAGGGTGTATGTACATATATGTGTGTAT